GCCCCCCGGCCGAAAGGCCACCCCCGGGGTGGGGCGGGGGCGCCTGCCGCGGCTGGGAGGGAGCAGCGCCGCGGACCTGGGCGAGGGGCGGGTGGGGGAAGCTCTGGGTTCCCGCCCTCCCTCCGAAGAGCGGCCCCGGCTCTGGGGCTCCCTCTCTGCCCGGCCGGGAGCTGAGGGGAGCGGGTGTCGTGTGGGGAATGTGCCCCTCCCGTCCCCGTGGACGTCGTTCTCGTTTTGAGTACCGCGCTGACGGAGCCTTGGGGCCCCGTCCCTTCCTGGGGCTGGCGGCGGTGCTGGCAGGGTCACGGCCCGGGCCTGCGGAGCGGCGGTAGCTTCGCCCTGAAGCGTCCCTTCATCCAGAAAGACGCGTCCCGGTCGTTAGTTCCCGCCCGTAACGCGAGGCGCTGTGCGCCTACACCTTCGTGACGGGCATACACGCAAAGAACAAGCTGATTAGGCGGGGCTCCGTTTTTGGGGAGGCGCGGGGCTGCCCCACGCTGCACCCCCCGGGGTCGGCCCACAGTTCTGCAAGCGCGTCCCGGCCGTGCTCGGCACCGCTGGGCCCGGCCGCGACGGGCTACCGCGCTGGGTGCCCCCCGGTGCCGGTAGTTGGGGTTTGTTTTGCGACTAGGAGTCGGAAGAAGAATAACGATAGGGAGCCTTAAGGGCTAAGACTGCGTGTGTTTGTTTACCGGTCGTGGTTATAGAACGAGAAATTTAAGCATGCGCCAATCTCTTTTGCCTAGAGCTACAGATTTGTGACAGTGGCCTGATCTCTCCTGGTAGGCACTGCCAGTAAACCACTCAGCAGCGGTCAGGCTGCTGCAATACCAGCGGGAGAAGGCATAAAGCCTTAAAAGAAAGAAGATCCACGACTTAGGTGGACAAAGGAACTCATTGTCCTGACAGAACTACGACTTCTGCTTGGGGTTTTAGTTCTGGGTTATTTTTGTTCTTAAACTTATAGTTCAGATTTGATTTTATGCTGACCCTTCCAATTAGGTATTTAACTATTTTTCATAGCCTAAAATATCAAGGACGTAACTTTGTTGTTGTTATTCTATTGCTATTAATGTTGAATATATGCAAAGGATGAGAAGAATGCTTTGCATGTAGTATGGGCATGACAGAGGTTATTGCAGAAATCTGATACAATTTTAATTCATGTTTGGCTAGGCAGCGCTGCTAAAAACAGTCTCATTCATCCTTGAACAATTAAACTCTCTGGAAAATAAACAGACCAGAAGGATCCGAGTCAGGGAAATTTGTCTTTGTGCCTCCGTGGAGAATATGCTATACATTTTTCTGCAGCCTGAAGCACGTTCTCTAATTTGACTGACTTGAATGAAGCTGTAAGCATGCCTTATTCTGTTGGATTAAGGAAATGTTCTGCTTGTTTGTTGGATCAATTTATAGGACACTAGTTGGATTTATGCAGCTTTTTCTATGACAACATAATGCAATATGTGGTTCATATGTTGGTTTGATTTCTCTCCAGGCAGACAAATTGTTGAAAGCACTGAAGCAACACTTTCATGGAATAAAACAAGAAAATGAAAATATGGTAAGAGATGATAAATCAGCCATTCTTTTTAAGAGAGATAGACCTAACTTTGTAACTAGTAGAGCAAGGCATGTACCAAAGATGGTTGTTTTTTATTTTACTGTGACACGAACTGTAATAAAAATACTTTTTTCTTAATAGTGCCTTTAGTTTAATGCGCTCATGTACTGCTAGAAACAGATGTGCTAATATTAGCTTTGAAATGGCCTCCTGTATGATCTAAAGCTGATTTCCTTTCAGCTGCCAAAATTAACAGTGTATTTTTCAGCATCAGTACAAAATTATTCTCCGTGAACACTAACATTTAATTTCCATTGAACAAATCTGAATTCTTGCTTGTTTAGCTTCAGACACTAGTCAGTACCAAATATAAAAATATTTTATTCCTTTTGCATGCCTAGATGAAAGGGACTGGATATTAACTGGAAAACATTTTGCACCTGCTACAATTTACTTACACTGACACTATAATGAAAGTGACACAATTGTGATGTTTCCTCTATTCATCTCTTAATGTATTGTTTTCTTAACTTTTTTTAAAGTTTTCTCCTCTGTAAGCTGAATTATTTTGTTGGGTATGGTGATGTTTTTTATGTTTTTGATAGAAAGTAAATTGGGATCTGCTTTTTTTAAACTCTCTCCCTTTAAGTGCTTCCTCTAAAATCTTCTTTAAAGGCTTGAGGAACTGGTGTAATCCTCGTCAGCTTATTTTTAATTTTAACAAGCATGGAGGAGGCTCTGATTTTTTGGTCAAGAGTATTCCACAGAAATGTACAAATCTGGGAGGGTCACAGCATTCTGCAAGTCAGATTCGAAATAGAAAGTATTCGGGTTTTATAATCTTATTAAAATGCTATGTAATAAAACAAGTGTAGGACTTTAAAGTCTTCAAACAATGAGCTTTGATGTTTAGGGAAATCTAGATATTGCCAATTTCTTGATTGCTATGCTACTAAATGGCATGCTACTTTTTTTCCTCTGTGTGACATACTTTTTCCAGTAATAAAATTGAAACTCTTTGGAGTATCTACTTTATGTTTGTGTCAGATATGTTCTACATTATAGTATTTTTCTGCTACAGGACTCTGAAAAAAGTGCATCTGCTTCCATTGAATTGGATGAACTGAGCAATCAGGAGGAAATTATGGCTGATTCAGTGTGTTCTATTACAAAAAGACGTGGTAAAGAAAAGAAAATAACCAGAAAAAAGAGGAACTCCAATGAGGAAACTAATACCACTGAAGAAAATACAGGGCTTTCTGCTGAGAAAGAGGTGATTTGCATTGCTTGGTTTTGTGTGCTGGCCACCCCCTTTCCCCCAAGCATAATTTAAACACACTCGATTTGTTCTACCACCACTTAGCAAGTGGTATACATTTTTTATATATATACATATGTGTGTGTGTGTATATAAGAATTTCATATGCAAATCTTCCAGTACTGGTCTTCTGTACTTTGTAGCATTGATTTTGTCTATATCTTGACTGTGTGCTATTCCATAGTGAACAGAAATTACTTGTTAAGTCGTTACTTCAAGGAAATAAATTAAATTCCTCCAAGAAATATACAATTCCAAACACTTTATCTGAATGTAAGACTGCTTTCACTAGCTCATCACAGTATTCTGAATATTAGACTAGTTTCAGAATTTATCTAAAATAAGGTTGGTTTCACTTTCTTTATATAGAAGAAAGTAACAGAAAATGGATGATTGCCTAAACTTCACAATTTTTTTAATTCCCACTCCTCTCAGTGGGTTCTTTATTCATGGGTTGTATGACTGAGGGAGGGTAAGTTTCAAGGTGAGGTGGGTGTAGAATTATTTTTTTCTAGAATTACATGCAAGTAGCGGGTGAACTAAGAACTGTGTGAAAGACTTTTACTGGTTTAGAGTTAGAGGAGGGAAATGAGAAGATGAGGAGTGTTAGTCTGTTAGTGTTAGACAGAGAATTGTACAGTAACCAAAGCTACAATAGTAAAAAGTAACATAGCCAGTGAATTTATTTTTACTTGCAAATAATTAACTTCTGTCAATAAAGGCAATTTTATACTGAAATGTTAGAGCTGTGCAGATAAAAGCTTTCTAATATAGATCTGTTTGTGAAATAACAGAGTAAGTATTTCATAGGTTAATTCAGGCTGGACTTCCGACAGTCTCTTGTTCAATCTCCTGATCAAAGCAGGGTCAACTATGAGGTTAGACCACAACGCTTAAGGTGTTATCTAATCTGATATTGAGAACCTCTGAGGATGGAGGCTGCACAACCTCTCTGGGCAATCCGTTGCCCTGACTGATCAGAACAGCAGCCTTTCTGTATATCCAGTTGGAACAAACTATTTAAGTGAAGTGTGTTTAAACTGCAGGAGCATTCTGAAATGAAAGAAAACGAAGTGCCTCAGGGTGAGCATGAAAAGGGACAGAAGGTACTCCAAAATGAGGAACAAGTAACTAAAAAGAGAGCTATTGACAATCCAGGGATGGGTACTGGTCAGAAAGAGCAACCAGAGAAGACTTCTACTAAAAGTAGTGGAGATGAACGTAAGTAGAAAATTTCAAAAAAGTAAGTTTAGTAATTTGTACTACTTAAAATGCACCTTTTGGTTATTTTATTGTGTCTGCAAAGATTTTTGTGGCATGTCTGGTGATCAGTACCTTATTTGGGAACACCAGAAAAAAAAATCTGTCTCCTTCGAGTTTGTGCACTTTTTTGTTTAACATACTGTAACGCAAATCCACAAATTCTGCAATGTAGGAATTCTACTGGCTTTGACTTCAGAACTCTGGACCTGATGTCTTTAGTGAAAGAGTTCCCGAAGGTCTGAGTGTGTTTGAGTCTTGCACCTCGTTTAGGATCAGTGCCTTTTGGAATACCCCCGAGATGCTACTCGGCTCCTTTAAAAAGTGGCAAGAAAGGGAGAGCTTCCTTCCTCATGCTTCGTTTTTCTTTTCCTACAGATGAACAAGCTTTGTCATTTTCTTCCCAGGAGTAAAATGAGCAGAAAAGGACATACAGACAGAATCCTTTATAATTTGTTTAAACTGCGTAACAGTATCTGAATGTATTACAGTGGATCATTTTTCTATCTGGTGGCTTTTTTAGACCTTCAAACACGATGCTGCTGAAAATATGAATTAATTTCTCCCCCACTCCTTTGTGCATGCAGCTGACATGAAGAAATGAGTTTGTCTGCCCAGTCTGATAACTTACTGCTATTGTGGGTCTATCAAATAAGAGATACCATTATTTGCTCCTGTTAAACTAAGTGTATGTAGTCCTTGAGCTGTATTATGGGTATTCTTGCTGTTCAGTAGGATTTACAGGGACATTTTTATTGGAGGACATCTATACTTTTGAAACTCATTTAGAAAATTAGGATTTTGCAATGAAGGTTCTTTTAAAAACAGAAGCAATAGAATGTGTAGAGGATGTTTTAGTTGAGGTAGCATTCATCCTGACAGTTGGCACAGTACTCATCTCTTCCTATAACTAATTATAAGTATCTGTACTACTTTCAGGTTTTTTTGTTTTGTTTTTCTTTTTTTCAATGATTTCAGACAGCAAGAGCTGTGTGACAGAAAAATACTATATCTGCATTTAGTGTTAAGTTGATTTTTTTTTTTTTCAACAACCCTCCATATTTACTTCCAGTGAGGATTTCTTTCAATATATTAAGGTCATCCAAGTTTACTTTAAAGGGGATGTGAATGTTTGCTTTCGATGTGCAAATATTGAACTCAATATGAAGTCTTTACCTGATTTTTTTTTTTTTTTAAATAAAATTAGTCACTAAAATGTGAACATGAGCTTAATACTATACCTGAGAGTAGAGATGATAAAAAGAACATAGCCTCTGTATATGTGTGTAAGGCAGTGGCAGAAAAGCTGGTCAAAAAGGTATTTTTTTCTTCTTTATCAACATTTAAAAAACACTGGCTTATTAAACAGATCAAGACCTGTGAATTTAAAGTTGTTTTTGCTTAGCACAAGCATAGTTTTATTATTAACTTCCCCTGTAAAATACTTTACTATCAAAAGAAAGCAACCTAGTATGACTGTAAGATTCACTCTGGGCTTGTAGTTTGTCAAGACATGCTGTTACTGACGTACCATTTAAAAGGCTTTTGAGAGACTTAGGACATATCCATTCCAGCTGAAGTTTTTATTTCTCAACACTTAAACCCACTTCGGGGAGATAAGGTGTGTTTTGGAAAAAATACTTTTAAAAAAGGTTGTGATGACGTTAAAATATTTTCCAGGAGTTCTAACAATTTTGTCTAATCTTACTGTACCAGGTGATGCTCATCATGCAGAAGGGAAGATCCCTTTATATGTAGGCCGTGCATCTAGGTCTGGGAAAACAGGAATGAAAGCTACTACACCAAGTAAGATAACCTGCCATCTAGATGTATTGTTTGTGTGTGAAGGGAGACTTGACTTACAGTTTTTTGCAACCCAAATTTTTATTTCTGCTTGAAGAAGAGAACATCCTCTCTTTAAAAAGCAAGCAAGCAAAAAAAATTCCCAAAGGTTACATTTTAAGGCGTATCTTCCAACTTGTAAACTCACAGCAGTAAATGACTCACAGGTATGTTATAAAACTGATTTATCGAACACTTTGATGTCTTTTGGATATAATACTTGCATTCATGATTTTCAAAACAATGAAGAATGGGAAGACACGCTATTACTCCTGCTTGTTTAGTTTTCACTTTATAAATACTACTGTTGTGCTGTATTACTACGTATTAGCTTATTTTCATCACTTCATAAAATGCATTCATTCTTTTAAGTTTGGCAGTATTTCTTTTTTTCTTTAACTGCAGAATTTGGGGGTTGGACTAGATGATCTTTAAAGGTCCCTTCCAACTCAAACCATTCTATGATTCTACAATTCTCCGGAGCATGCACCAGGTGGCTATGGGGCTGGTGAAGTAGATTCTGTTTCACACTGTTTGGTTACCTGTGTATACACAGCCTTTAATTAGAGGGATACATTATATTTTTTCTGAGGCCATAATGACAGGTGTTGCAAGATTCTTCTATGAAGTAGTAAATTTCCTTAGGAGCTTATCAGATATGTGACTCTTGTTATTTTTGGAACTTCTTAGACTTTAAAAAGTTGCATGAGGCTCACTTCAACAAAATGGAATCTATTGCTGACTACATTGAGAGGAAAAAAAAAATGATTGAAAACTGCAGCAGTTCTCTCAATGAAGTCAAGGTAAGTGATAACACAGGAAGATATCCATTGTTCCCGTCTTCATTTATCTCCAGAGCCTCTCTGCAAAAGTCCTGTAGAGTCTCTTTAGAGCAATAAGTAGCTGGTCATGTGTACATGCAGTGGAAGGTCATGATCAGTGAAATTTAACTGCAGTCCTAATATAGCTAGTTGTATAGAATTATTTGTATATAACTTGTATAGTTGTATAAGTTTTTATATATTAACAGCGTATGGCTATAAATAGTTCTAGGAACCAATAAATAACTTGTCAGTTTTGAGTAAAAATAATTGTCACAATTACTTTTGTGAAGGATCTCCTGGAGTTTTTGCTTACAACTGTTTGAATTGCTGCAGAACTTTAACCAAGGGGGTCGGTTACTTTTCAAAGAACAGGAATTAACTATTAAGTTCCTCTTTGTGCCTTAAAAAAACATTGTCCAATGACTGCACATGACTGTTCTTTAAAATATATGCAATGTATGCTGTTTTCAGTGGCCCCGATTCTCAGTTTTTGTATTTCATGCTTGCATGGGTGAAAGCTGCTAATAGGGCCTCTTCCAGAGTGTGGCAGACCTTAGAAAAGTGACAGTAATGTGTCAGTGAAGATATGAATGAATATGTCAATGGACGTACCAAAACAGTAACACTGAAACTCCTGAACATTAAATTTCTCTTCTCTATGGCATGCAGTGTATCAATGTATACTTAAGACAAATTACTTTTGGCAGGTGCTGGCCAAAAAATCGAATCACTTGAGAGCATCAGGAAAAGGCATTCCACATAACAATTCTAAGGTATGTGTTTTCAGATCAGTTTAACAGTAATACAATTATTTATGTTTAAAATATGCTTTTAAAGAAAAAAGGGAAAAACTGAAGAGACTGTATGCTGCTGATTCACTGTGTATTTTCCCTTCCTCTTAGTTGCTTTTCTGATAAATTTTTAGCAGAGCATGCTAACTCGTGATTTGCTTTTCCCTAGAAACAAAGCAGTGGCAAAACATTTTTATTCAGCCCAAACCCAGAAAGAGGCAGATTCTCCACCACCTATACTCCTAGTAACCTCCGTCGCTCACCACGCAGTTCCCTGAATGCTGCCAATCGAAGCATTTTATCTAGGAAATCTTCATTTAATCCTTCTGTCCTTTCAACAACCAAAATGAACGTCAGGTAAAAAGAACAAACCAAAACTACCAGTGAGCAATTTGATACGATACACATGAAATAATCAACACTGACTGTGATTTGACTACATTATTTCTATTTCAAGCAGGAACTACATGAGACTAATTCTGATTACTAACTTTCAGTCTAGCTTTATGGCTGGTTTAAGCCTTACTGTGCTGTTACTATCTCGATTCTTCATTTTTGATGTCTGATGGTAGAGGAATCTTGCCCCTCCTTGAGCTTTCATTTTGCTAAACCAACCAAGCCAAACTTTATTTTTCTTCTCTTACTGTGTTAGGTTTTCCATTTTGTCAGGCAACCTAATAGGCTCTGTTATATCTGAATTAATTTATCTTTGAGATTACTTAACCAGAACTGTGTGCAGTATGGCAGGTGAGTCTTGCAATGGACTCATCATTTGGGGTGGTTTTGGGTACTCTCTTTTCCTTTTCTCCCTCCTCCCCCACTCCGTGTCACAGCAGAGGCTCATCTTGTGATTGATTACTATAGGCAGATTGTTTCTAGCAGATAGGAACCAAGTTGACACCAGAAAGTCGTGATGAATTGCTAAATGAATGAGCTCATGCTCAATGCTATTAAACCTCATCTCATTTCCTTTTAAAACACCACGTGCACTTCATTATTCCTACACAGTAATCTAATTCACTACTATGTTAATATTTCCTGAACTTCTGTTATCGGTAAATTTTATTAGCTTATTACTAATTTTTATAAAGTCTTGAACAAAAAACCTTTTAAATGAAGGAATCAAAAGGACCGTCCATATGGTACTCCATTGATAAATGCCCTTTTGCCCAGTTTTCAGTGAAAGTCCTTGTCGCTACTATTTCTTTGTTGGTTTCTAACTATTGTACTCATTCCAACTTTATTTAGTTTACTTAACTTTCCACAGTGACTGAAGTTCAGATTTAGACATTCTATAATTTACCCGTATGCTTTTCCCCCTGCTAACAATATCTGGTTAATCTCAGGTCTCAGTTGTGTTGCTTTCTGCTTTTCTGATAACCTTCACGTCTCAACTTTTGCGTGACAAGATGATGGCTGCAGGGACTTTTTTGTCCCTGAATAAAGTGTGGGGGGCGTTGTTACTATTACGTCAGATAGTGCGACTTCTAATATTGACAAGTCCTAATACATAATTATGGGATTTGTAGTTTTTGCATGCAGTTCTTTTGCTATTCAAAAGTCAAGATTACAGATTCCGTGTAAAATCAAGCTCATAATCTTACTGGCTTTGTTCCTACTTTGAATGTGCTATCTTTGATTTCAATAGACAACAAATGAAAATGATATTTGTTCTGCCTCTGGTTTGGATGGTCTTTATTGTCTTCACTGCAGCCCTACTTAATTCTTAGCAATACGTAAACCAAACCAACACTTCTAGAATTTGCTTCCATTCCATTTGTCCAAAGATGTGCTGAGGTGGATCTGCACTTCATCCATAAACTTGCTAGCCCTCAAAACATAGCTTTCTTCAACATTTACTCACTGTCTTTCCATATCTTGCAGGCTTTCAGCTTATTCTCAGTACCTTTTTGATAAGGCTATTACTTCATGCAAGATTTTGAATTTTCTTTCATATGTTTATATAAATATGTATGTACACACATATATATATTAAAAATGTGCGTATATACACACATACATATAGCACACCTGTGTACCTTGGTATGTGGGTAACTTGTGCGTTTTGATTACAATTGCCAGCTTCTTCCTTTTGTAGATCTTTGAGTTCTAGACTTCTGTTAGTTAATTTTCTTTTAGTTTTCCTTAATTTGAATTTTCAAATTAACAATATTTATATATAATGTTTATAATGTTTTACTACAGAATCCAAATCTAAAGTAAATCATATCTGTTGGTGAAGAAATTTACTAACTTATTACATCCAAATATATTTGCTCTCCAAAATAACAAGAAAGTCAGTTCTTTGTAATTCCCAATATTACTGCTATTGATGATGGCTTGTAACTTGAAAACTGACAGCAAAGGTATTTTTTGTGCAGTTTATGCATAAGCTGTGAACATCTTATACGCAGTAGAACTTGCTACCTGTTAGAAAGGTAGAACACAGAAGCTTCTGTATTCTGTCACGTTGCTTACATTCCTTGTAGATGACTAATTTTGTCTTCATGTTTCTAATAATTTTCAGGTTCTCGGAAGCCACAAAAGATAATGAGCATAAACGCTCTCTTACCAAGACTCCATCTAGAATGTCTCCATACTTGGAGGAGATCTGCACACCTGATAGCCAAAAGAGCTGCAAACTATTAAGTCGGAAAAATAGCAAGGGAAATGCAAGAAATAATGACCTGACAGCATCAAATGGTAAAGTGGATGGTAAATATTTGTGTTTTTTCAGGTCATGATCTTTGTCTTGTTGAATTATCATATAATTTTTTTATAACGTACTGTCATGTAGATCCAGGTTTTAATTTCGTTCTCTAATTTATGACTGATTCTTCAGAAACTGCAGTAGTTTCTTTGTTTCCTTTGGTTTCCAGTGTTTTGACTAAAATGGTTATGTGCTAAGACTTAAACATGTGGTACCTAGCTACCTACAGAAAAGCCTAATACGGGATGTAGGGGATAGAAATTGTTCTCAACCTTTAGGGACTACATAGCAAGAGATTCATATAGCAGGTACAGGGAGATCCTGTCTGCGGTGAGAGGAGCTCCTGATGCTTTCTCAGTGGTCTCATTCTCCTTGCGGGATTGGCATGCACCAGGCTTCTAGCTGTGTTTTAGGACAACCTGTTATCATCAGCCTCAGCAACCCTGATTAACTCTGGAACTAAAGCTCTGTGAGAAAAAGTACAAGTCTTCTAATTACTAATGCTCTCTGCACCAGCACAGCTCTGCTGTCTAGCAGCTGATACCCTAGCATCACAGGTACATTAGCACAGGTCAAGAACCCAGAGTTGCCCGTCCTGCTGTACGACAATATGGATTATTTTTTTAAGTGGAAAGGAAAGTTCCACTGCTGATCAGAAGCTGGTGTGTTCCAGAAGAATGCTGCTTTTTTTAATGTGAAAATCCACTTTGTCCCAAAGAAGCATAGAGACTAGGAAACACAATTTGCTCTGAAGGACTAGAAAAATGCATGGAGCTATATATGCCATTGCATAGCATAATCAGAGCAAAAGGGCTAATACTCTACAACCCTTGCTCTTTCCAGACCCGAAAGCTCCCAATTTCAAGTGAGCTGTGTTTGTGCAATTCCGTCTTTAGAGGCAGCAGACGGTAGCATTTAATGGCTCTTTGGTTTTGATAGTTGTAAGGTGGTCTTCACAGGCACTTTCCAACTTGCGATGTACAGTGATGCTCTTGCTACTATAATTAAGTATGATATCTTGATGCCATTTGTAGTTATCACTCCCTTCAAGTTTGCGGCTCATCCTGCAGAACCCACAAGCACAAAGAAGACCTTTGATCTCAAAGCGAGTCTCTCAAGGCCGCTTCGGTATCAGCCACATAAAGGTACTGTGATCCTGTGCGGTTTGTGTTGGTCATACTTGCTGAGCATAAGGGGTAAGGCATTGATACGAGCCGTGACACAGCGAAGTTTTCAGTCTCTCTTCCTGTCCCTTCCCCTTCCTCTCCGGATTCCCACACAGTCTGTGGACTGATCTTAAATTTCTACATAATACATGCTTTAAGAGCCTCCCTATAGAAGAATAAGTCTTTATGACCAAAAGCCCATAAATATAAGAATAAACATCCTTGTATTTCCTGTACATACGTCTATTCAGTGGAATACAAGATACTGCTTTACAAAATGAGGCGCTTTTTTTTTTTTTTTTTGTAAAGTGCACTGCTGTGTGAGAAGCTGAACTCTGTGTGGTGTTACTTATAAGTACAGTCACCTGTTACTACTTACAGAAAAACTACTTGTAGGGAATGGGCTGGTGACACTGATAATACAACTGAAGAGTCATTTCATGTTAAAGTGAACCAGCAAAAAAACAGGCTAGCTAGTATAAAATTCACGGTAAGATGTTCAGCACACAATTACTAAACTAGTAATTCAGTAGTCTCTCTTTTTGCCCTTAAATTGTAGGACGACTAAAACCTTGGGGAGAATGTAAAGAAAATACTGCCCTCAGTAAGTCTGTCAGTAGCAACATCTCTTCACGTAAGAAAGATTACAAACAGCCGCATCTCCAGACAAGGTTAGTACACCATTAACTTTTTATGAATAGTGTTCTTTAAAATGATATAATGACTCATTTGTCCTCTTAGGATTTAAATATGCAGTTCAGGAAAGAATACTTTTATATTAAAGCAATTTTTGCCTCCAGTAGCCTGTCTAGTATCAGAAAGGCCAACAAAGAGGACAGCTCTGAATCTGACAGACTGCCATTCTATGAAAGCTATCAGTTCTGGCATTTGGAGATTTACCTTCACCTTGGAAGAAGCTGTGAACTTTGACACGTTGTTACCTTGAGTGTTGGCCCTGTACGCTTAAGCAGAAGTGTTTGCTCCGCTCTCTGCCCGTGGCAGATGCAGCACACTGGTTAAACAGATGTCAAGCCTTGGTCAGCTTCAGATTCCTTTGGTTGCTTGTGTCCCTACCTTTAACGTAACTCGATGTGGTCTGTCTCTCTTCTTTTTCCCCTTCAGGGAAGAAAGGCGTGAGAAACATGAGCAAGAGAGAAAAAAGAAAAAGGCTCAGGCTCTTGGAAAACGTAGAGGACTGTCTGTGGGTTAGGAGGAATAAGAAATATTGAAGAAATCCCTGTAAATACTGTTCCTGTCGTGTAAATATTTGTGCCGTCTGTTTATGGTTTGGCTTGCTATTAGCTAGTGGAATCCAGAGAGCATTGAATGAGACCTTAAAATGTATCCAAGCGTAAGGTTCTAGTGATCAACTCCTCTAACAAGATGGGTTCTAAACTTCTAGGAGCTTAGAACCATCTCTAGTTGCTTAATAATGTTTTCATTTAACTAACTCGTTTAACTAAAAGATGTTAAAGAAGAAAATGTAAACGGCAGAAAGATGCTCAGGAAGCCTCCTTGCAACTTAGGCCAGACTTCTCCACCGGAATGCCCTCGTTACCCACTAGAATGCACGCTTTGGGTAGCGAACCTCAAAATGTTCCACTGGTAAATCACAGGAGCTGAAGACGTCTGCTGGCCCTGTTCTCCAAATTGATCTTTAAATTCTGTAACAACTGTCACAGCAATTATTCAGCACTTCTAGTTGCATGCCTGTGAAGTAGTACGGAATTTCCAAGCAAAGAAAAAATATGCAAGCTCTCTGGAAAACTAAAAGCTTACAGCATAATTGTAAAATACCCTATTTTTAAGACGTCACAACTGAAAAGTGGATGCTTTGAACAGTACAGATTGTTCTGCTATTTACCACGGAAAGGAGCAAGTGTTAAAAAAATTCTGGTTTCCATCTCTATGATGCTTAAAAGAGGTTACAGTAGTGTTGAGGCACATTCAATACCTTAGATTTAAAAGCTGTTGCTACTTTTAAAAAATACATAGAAAAGCTGTCTAGATTTATTATGGATGGAATGGGAAAGGCAATTTAGCAGTTGCAATCTTAGAATTTTGAGCAAAGTGTTTCGGTGAATTCAGTGTCCTATCAAATATATGTTCAAATGTCAAGAACAAGCATTTTTTTATAAACCTAATGGTGGGAAATAAATATTTTGTATATATCCTATTTGTTGCTGGTTGTATCATCTAGTGTACTATGTATAACTACCTCCTTTTTGTGACCAGTTTTCCTTACTGATCAGCCTGCCTACCGCTGTATGAAAGCATGTTTGTTCTGGTATCTTTAGAAATTATAACCATCATTCCTCTTTTGCTCTTAAGTGATTGTAATTCTGTACAAGAGGAAAATGATAGTATTAGACACTGCCATAGAAAATGTAGGTACATTTAATATTTGTGAAGTACACTTAAAGGAGGTCACTGCAGAGGAGGTCAGTGCTTTGATTAGACAAAGTTTGTGACAGCTGAAACGAAACTATTCAGCACTTGGTCTTTAAAGTGTTTCTCAAATTACTGCAGACCAGACTTCTCAGAAAAAGGGAGGTGTTGAGCTTCTGTGCCACCAACTGAGGCTGTGACTGCTTACAATAAGCTGAGTAAACTGATTGTACACATCAGAAAAGCTCTGTAATGGTGCTAAGCAAGCTGAGCTGTGCCTCCTCAGGGACCGGAGAGTGACGGGGGTTTCCCCCCAGCCCAGCCTTGGAGCATTACTTCTGTTCAACCACCCTAGCTCTATAAAGCTGTAGGACTATCATCTGTTTCAATCTTGGCAGCAGCAGCTCTTTCTTTTTTTAGTTATTCAGAGGAGCTAAAGATTGAAATACTTCTGCCTTTTCCACTTCTGGTACTATTCTTTGTACATTTCAGCAGCTGAGTGACGCTTAAGCACCATTCTTCATCATACTTTTTCCAGTTTAAAACTATGGCTGTTTCACAACTGTCTACAAAGCATATAATGTAGAAAGTGAAATTGTTGTACAAAAAAGAACTACAACAAGCTTGTGAAATACTTTTATTTTGTAAAGGTCAGGACAGGAGCCAAAACTTACCCAGTCAACAGTTACTACTTTGTAAGAATGCATCACAACTCTCCTCGGGCCACGTTCCAGTCCGTGTACGCACAGTCCCTCCGGGACTCCGTATTTGGCAGCTCGAAGATGCCAAGGGTGTCGCTCCAGCCAGATTACTAGTCAACGCTTCATGCGCTTCTCTCTAACGTTTACATAGACTCTTCAAGTCGTTATAAGCCACACATTAAGAAGTGTCTTATAAAAATGAACCAAGCATCTGAAGAATATCCCACAGGATACCAGCCCCACTTAGATTTGAGGATTCTTTTCATACATTTCATAGGCAAACTCTTCTTTATGAGCTCTATCGTTTAGCAGGCCAATAAAATCAATCTCCAGCTGGAACGGACCATCTACTTTATCCCCGATCGTGAATCCAAGGGTACTAACCTAATTAAAAGATACGTACATTAGAACAGTTTTATAATGTTACAATCAAACACAATTGTATCTACCACTTCCATATTGTACAAACAATTCATAGCCATCCACTGTAAACAGTGGTATTTGCTCCAAGTGCAGCGTTACTTCTGAAGCCTTGAACGCTCCACTACCAGATTTTCAATGCAGACCCCAGCAGGAAACTACTTCACGTTTGTCTTTCGACCACGTGTGTTGAACCCTTTATTAGAAACAGCCTGAGCCTAAGGCGACGCTGCAATTTTTATCCTTCAGGGTTTGTGTATGAGTAGTTTCATCATGATTGCGTGCACAAGCGCCGTTTCATGAAGTCTGTTATAATTCTTATGTGAGTAGGAAACAAACAATGTAATTAAGGATGGAAGGGGAATTTCATTCTAGATGAAGTCATACACCTGGCATAGTGTGAAAGTGCACCAAACCAGGCATTTTAAAGACACATGAAACTTTGTTACTGAGTTTTATATTAAGGCAAGGCTCTTAGCCACTGTTTCCCAATTAGAAAAATGTTCTTAAATACAAGGACATTCCTCATTCCTTTCTCCTAATATTCACCACTATTCCATTTTTTAAAAAAAATACTTTTTATTCTAACTAATAAATAAATTCCATGAAAAACTGTGCGGCTCAGGCATGTTTCCCATTAGCCTGTGGCTCGCCTGAACGCTCTCTGGGCTCCTACGCGCCACCAGTCACCCTTCAGAGGCTCCGGTGCTGGTGGTCCTCAGGCAAGCTGGGCCACCAGGGGCAGGGCAGCACTTTTAAGCTCCAGCTGCCCCTAAGCCCTGCTACAAGTGCAGGTCCGAGCCCTGCCCGTGATTTTAAGGACTGCGGTACCTGCAGGAAAAGAATGCCTAGGATGTGTCAGATAAAGTTGACTAATTGTAGGCTGAGGCTAAATGTGTGTTGCAAGTGTACGCTACATAAATAACAGAACAAAGGTAAAGAAATGAAACACATCGACATTCCTCTCAGATTGTCTCATGTTTTAAACGCTGTCTCTTCCCCAGAAGCAAGCTCTACCATCAGCCCTCGGCTTATGGAGCCTGGAGAGTTCTCAAAGCTCCATCTTTCTGGTTCATCTTGTTATAGATGACTACGGGAGTCACCTAAACTCTCTCCTCTGAAGAACTTAGGCCTTTGCAAGCCCTAGATACATTGGCTATTTCCTGCCTTTTTATTCCTGTTTAACAATGCCTTTCCTGGGAAAACGTATAGTAGTACCATGAGGGACCAAGACTTCTCAAATATCAAGATTTCTTTTACTGCTTTCACATCGCTTCCCCTATTTTTAGGTTTCTTTAAAATACATTTGTAAAATTACACTTCAGATTATATGCAAGTGCATCGTTTTTACTGTGAAATACTGCACATAAGATAACAAGGAATGAAAATTAAGTGGAGGATGCTTAGATCAAGTATCATTTTGTCCCTTTAACTCCTGGTATATATTTTTAAACACCCCACGTACAACTTCATGTTTTCATTTACCGTTTTGAATGACTGTATATTCCAAATCCTGATAAATTTTTCAGTGTCCCTGTTGAAACACGGGCCTTTTATAATGACTTTCTTCCATGAAGCATATTTTTTCTTGTAGTTGATCCACCTTCATTCGTACTTGCTTTCTACAGCCTCGATTTCTTCTGTTTTAAAACAGATTGTTTTCACGCTGCCAATCACTGAATTGCCCTGAAATTTTTCCTAATTTTTGTTTTTCATTAAGGCAATTAGGAACTGAATGCAACATTCCAGGTAACTAACACTGATTCAAGTAACGGGCCTTTTATTTTCTCCCCATATACATTTCTAACATTGTTTTCCTTTTGGTAGTCACTGGGTATTAAGCTGCCCTCAGTTACATACAGAAGGGTCACTGAAATTTAAAAGACAAAAAAGAAACACCACCAATTTTTTCCAACACGTCTCCCCTCGTGAATCAGTGAATTAGCCTACCTGTTTGAAGAAATAAAATAAAAAATACTCAAACACATTTACTTAATACTTAAACTTGAAAGCCTGAAAAAAGCTAAAAAAGAGCCTATAAATACATCAGTTTACTGCTCACCATCAAGGTCATTGATACAGTACATCCTCAAATAAAACTGCACGATATGATATCCCTTACAGTCTTCTGTCAGGAAGGAAGTTTATAACACTTTTGTTATTACTGGCAGTACTGTGCCAACTGGAACTTTCGATTTTAGTCACTTTGATCATTCCTCAAAGAAAAAAATTTTGTCGTTTTCTTTTTTTTTTTTTTGAAAAGACAAGTAAGTTGTGAGTTGTTTCTTGGTTATCTAGATCTCTTAAAAATATTTTTGGAGCTACTTTGAAGTAAACTGACACCGCTATCACAAATTAGGATCATTTAAATGCAAAGGCAAGCACACAAGTACCTTAAAACAAGAAGAGTCTCTTCAATTTCAAATTCACAAACACTAAACGATTTGTAAATTATCTATATCATGACAATATAATCTTAAAGGATATTTCGGGCAGATAAAGCCTGTAGAAAACTTGCCTTGTCTAACCAGATAGGATGCTGGTCATCCTGGACTCTTCCCCGACTGGAGAGAAAGAATTTGGAGAATGGAATCTAACAGAAACAAAACCAAACCAGACTTTAGTGTCACCAGTACATAGAACAAAAATTTAAGAAATAAAAAGCCTGCATTAGTAAATAAAAAAATACTCTGCTACATCC